CAAAAATAGTTTTATGAGGTTCTAGACTTTCTTTGGGTTTGTAACCAAGTCCAGCTTTGCTAGAATTCCCTCTTTGATAACCTAATATAGAATCAAGATTTTCAGAAGATTTTGAAAACTTGTTTATTATTTTCCCTAACTTGCACTACTACAAATAAAGCTTTCAACGTCGGTTCAACAACCGACGTTGTATCAGGCGACGTTGAAAGTCGTAACTTTCAACGTCGGTAGTATGATTTTTTAAATTAATAATTTTTATTTATTTACAACCCCTTTACCCCTTTTATTTATCTAGAAGTCTCCCCTCTCTTTATAATATATTTTTTAGAAGTTTATTAATTTTTTAAGAGAATTGTCATTGGCGGGATTCAAACCCGAGTACTTTAGAGTTGGAGGCTGATACTCCAACCACTAAACTACTAGAATTTTCCGATAATAACTTACAAATAAATTATATTTATATACAAATAAATATATATCCGTGTAAATATATAAATATATAAATACAAATATATTTATATATTTTGATATATTTATATAGTTATATATTTATATGTTGGATGTGAGGGCACACTCGAAAGTGAAAGTGTGTGTCGAGTGGGTTTTCAAAATTTGATGCTAAATTTGTGAGCAGATATCTTTATATGAATTTGTAATTTAATGACATAATATAATCTTTATAATTTTATTTATATAATGATATAAAATAAATTTGGGAAACGCGTTATTTGCTCTCAAGCGAAAAATACCAATTTTCACTCAAGCGAGACTTGAGTAAGTGAATTTCCGTGAGCTTTAACATATTTTCACTCAAGCAAGAGTCAATCACACTTTCACCCTCGATCGAAAAATACCAATATAATTTATTTGTAAGTTATTATCAAAAAATTATAGTAGTTTAGTGGTTGGGATATTAACTTTCAACCCTAAAATACTGGGTTCAAATGCTATCGAGTGACAATTCATTAACTTAAGAGAATTTTTGGTTGAAAATAAAAATAAAAATACTTTCCAGAAAATATATACAAATAAATATATATTTACATGGATATATATTTATTTGTATATAAAAATAATTTATTTGTAAGTTATTATCGAGAAAATTCTAGTAGCTTAGTGGTTGGAGTATCGGTCTCCAACTCTAAAGTACTTGGGTTCAAATCCTGCTAATGACAAAAAGTGTCAATAAGTAAAAAAAAAAAAAGACTTTCAACGTAGAAAATATATTTTGTAGTAGTGTTGAAAATCTCATTTTCCAAATGATTACAATTTTCACAAGGTTTAACAACTTCTTTATTTTTAGACAAGGTTTTAAATTTATCAACATCTTTCTTTAAGCACTCATTTTCTTTTTCAAGAATACCAACAGTATTTTCTAATGCATTAAACTTTTGCCTAAGTGCATTGTATTTCTTAGATAACTTGGTAAAACCTTCATACATATCTTGATATTATTTAAACAACTCATCATATTCATTTAAGGATTTTGTACTACTTACCTGTGATGAAGCTTCATCATCACTTTTTGTCATCAAGAAAAGATTTCCTTCTTCTTTTCCATCATTGCTTTCGGAAGAACTCTCTTGTGTTGTGGAAGAATCATTATCCTCCCAAGCAATATAAGTTTTGTATTTGCTCTTATAGGTATCGTTCTCTTTCTTCTTTCTTTGCTGTCTCTTTTTCGTGTTCTTCATAAAGCGAGAAAATTGTTTAACAAAAAGAGACATATCAGAGTCCAAAAACTTACCTTCATTTTCGCTTTCGTCTTGTGAAGATTTTTATGCTTTTAGAGTTATTGTCTTGGATTGATTCTGTTCACAATTCTTTAACATTTGTAGCTCCATCTCATGTTCTCGCAGCTTTCCAAATAGAGTAGCAATATTCATTTTTGTGAGATCCTTTGATTTCGTAATAGCAATGACCTTTTGTTGTCAATTCTTGTCTAAGGATTTCAAGATCTTTGTGTTCAACTCCTCATTGTCAAAACTCTTTCCTAATGATTTCAAGTGATTTACTATATGTGTGAAGCGTGTCTGGAAATCCATGATGCTTTCATTTTGCTGCATTTGAAATAATTGATACTCTTGGATGAGTGTGTTATTACGTGCTCGCTTTACTTCATTTGTTCCTTCATGTGTTACTTCAAGAGTGTCCCATATTTCTTTTGCCGTCTTGCATTGTGAGACCCTGAAAAATTCATTACTAGTTAAGGCAGAAACAATAACATTTCAGACTCTTACATCATAATGGACACGCTTATTTTCATCTGGCGTCCATTGATCAAAAGTCTTTGGAACAACTCCAAACTCCGTTGTTCTCATCGGAATGTAGGGACCGTTGAGTACAACATCCCAAACACCGTAATCTAGTGTTTGTAAAAATATTTTCATTCTCGCCTTCCAAAACTGATAGTCTTCACCTTCAAATAGTGGATGTCTGTTTATTGAGGCTCTTTCCCTGTAAACCTGATTCTGCATAGACATCTTGACAGATTGTTTAGAAATATCTTATCTAACCAAACTCTGATACCACTTGTTAGGCAAATGACATCTAGAGGGGGTGAATAGATGCACAAATTTTAATAGATGTCAAATTAAAAATTTATTTATGAGTCAATAATTTGTTTAAACACAGATAAAGCGGAAACGATAATATAATCAGGAAAAGAGAAAAAGATAAGAGAAAGAGAATAGAAAACAATTATTTATACTGGTTCGGGTATATCCAACCCTACATCCAGTTCCCAGTCAACTCTTAACACAAGAGTGACTCCCAATTCACTATCTTTCAAATTCAGTTTACAAATTACAATCAACTCAGCAGAAGAACCAGTAAAAAGTAAACTAATTAAAAAGACAATCACTTCCTTAAAAACCCACTAAGGATGAACACCTTCCTAGAATCCCACTAGGGATGAATACCTCCTCTGAACAAATCAAAGGACGAAAAACACCTTCTTAGAATCCCACTAAGGATGAACACCTCCCTAGAATCACACTAGGGATGAAAACACCTCCTTAGAATCTCACTAAAGATGAACACCTCCCTAGAATCACACTAGGGATGAAAAACACCTCATTTGCTACCAATACACAAAGGATGAAGGTAATAAAAATAAGAACAGTCACACCTGGGTAATGGAGACAACAAATTATAGAAGCATGTAGAATGTCAATCTCCAAGAACAAGTGTGATTAACAATGAGAGCACAAAAGGCAATAGAGAAGAGAGTTTTCTCAGAAGGTGTAAAATATCTTTGTTGTCTTGCTCAAAATTCTTTTATCAAAACTGATTAAATGTAAATTGTATAAATTCAGGAATTGTTTGTTTTTTATTTTTCATCAAAACTTAATTAAATAGAAAAATAGCATCAGAAAATGGTCGTTGGACATTAATATTTTCATGAATAAAAATCAGGATATATTAAAAAATATTTATTCTTCAAAACAAATATATTTTTCAAATTTGAATTGTCATAATTGATTATGTTACCAGAATAATCAATTATGACAGAGAAAATCATTTTTTTCATTTCTGATGCATCATAATTGATTATGATAGTGAAAAATATCACATTATGAATTTTATCACACTTGTGCTTTGTAGGCTTATGCATAATATTACTTCATCAACTTGTATATCCATATCCAGTATTCTAAGACTCTATCTAGTCTTCAGGAATCATCTTGGACTTTGCTTGAATCATCATCTTTATCAAAAACATATCTTGAGCATGTAGGGAAATGTTTCACATTTTCACCAACGTCTTAAATTCAATTTGTCCTTAATTCATCTTGAATGGTGTTGCCTTGAATGTAGTTGACTTGAATCATCATCAAAATTATTTCTTAGAAATGTAGTGACATTTCCATCAATCTCCTCCTCCATTGCTTTCATATTTATTTTTAATTTTTTTCACATAATGTATATACATTTTTTTCTCCTGTATCTACTACATCATGAGCAGGTGATGAACATTACCAAATGAAAAGTTTGAAAAGTATAAGTGAATTTTGATGATGATGAGGATGGAAAGTGTTTAAGATAACATTATCTTTGGTTGAACCATTATGAATGAAACATACTATAATCCGTTTGGTTAAAGAAGAAATATAGTACATATGAAAACATGAGATTTATCATCACGTGGATAATCAGAACTGGTACTGTACGGTGTTACTGTACGTACTGCAGAGGGTGCGCAGTGTGAATGGTGAATAATGACTAATAAGCACTCCAGCCAGCTGGGAACAGAGCGTGTTAAAGTTTTGAATCTTTATAATCTAATATCTTCTACACACCATTCATTGTCTAGTGAAAAAATATTCATGCAATCAGGTACGGAACAAAATATGTATATGTTAAAAATATATACTGTATTGAATTATTTTGCCTTCCATTTTCTGTCTCTGTTTTTCTCAAACACTTAGGTATTAGAGTAATGATATAGATATATCTTGTTAACAAATTTTTTTATCACGATGTAATGGTTATAAAATTTAGATATATTTTTGTAGTTGTGATTTATTATTATTATTATTGTTGCTGTAATGATATGAGCGATGATCCTGCGTGAAACTGTACAATAATAAGAACTGTGGGTGAAGACACTGTACGCTGGTCTGATTTTCGAAGGGTGGCTCACAATAAATTTGGGAAGGGAACTTGGGTGTGATGAGTGATGTAGTTTGGTCCCCATACCCTACATACATGACATTTGAGAACCTCTCTCCTAACTGATAACCCACCCCATATCTTGTGGTCTATAACTGATCGTACCATTCTTCTGCAACATTAGGTTTGTTGAACCGTTTGAATACAGACCGGGATCATTGCTTAGATTCATGACCAAAATAAAAGGATATTTCAATGATGGGCTCACTGCCTAGTTTGGCATTTTTCCATCTATTTGCTCTGTGGAAACAGACACCCACCAACACTAAATTTATTCTTTTTTATACCAACACTTGCCAATGCCCCAGCATTGGTAACCCTCTTCGATGGAACCTGCCCTTCTCAGTTCCAATACTAATGCCACCACCTTCTCCAATGGAAACTGCCCAGGTGACTTTGATATCATTACCTGGTTCGAGGACGTGTCCAAGAACGCTGCTTCTGTTCAGACTCAGACACTATGCAGGATTCTGAAGCAGAACTGTGGGGTTGAATATTTGAAGAAATGGTTGGGCGGCTACAATGTCTCAGACATGGATGCTTGTGCGTTGGAATCTCTTTTCACTTCTCTTGTTCCCCTTGCTTCGCATGCAGATTTCGAGCCATATATCCAAAAAATTGCAGATGGAGACACAGCTCCTATACTCACTCAACAACCTATAACCACTCTTTCCTTAAGGTACCACTGCCTTTATCTATTTATACATGTGAATCTATTGTTATTCTTTCTTTCACATTTCATCCTTCCCCTTTTGGGTGATAATGGGATTCATTGCCGTACTATTCGTTTTATGTTCTTTCCTTCCTCTTTTGGGTGATGAGATGAATGGGTGAGTCAGAATATAGAATATATAATTCAGGCCATATATGGCTGCTTTCCTCATTCTCTGTATAGCTATCCATCGATCTATTTAACAATGACAAGGTCTAGGTGCACGTCAGTAATCGACTAAATCAGTCGATAATGGCCCAAGTAAAGTAATTAACCGTAGCAATCTTGTCATGCTCATGCATATTGATAATGATATATTAACATGATTGTTTTTCTTTCATTGTCTATTTATGTCAGATCTTCATCCGCTGTGTGATGAACTTTTTTATTTCTTAAATATATATAATCTTATAAGGTAATGGTTGTGCAGTTCTGGAACCACAGAGGGGAGGCAGAAGTTTGTACCCTTTACCCGCCATAGTGCTCAGACGACCCTTCAAACTTTCACTTTAGCAGCAGCCTATAGATCAAGGTGTGCTCCTCTCAAGTCTCATTTCTTAACGAGTCACGATGACCTAGCTAACTACGAGATACATGGTTAATCTTTTCGAAGTTCTTATGCTTGTTGTTTATATCACTGTTTATAGGGTTTATCCCACAAGGGAAGGAGGCAGGATTCTTGAATTCATATACAGCAGCAGCCAGTTCAAAACAAAAGGAGGCTTAACAGTTGGAACAGCCACAACACACTACTATGCAAGTGAGGAATTCAAAACCAAACAAAAGGAAACAAAGGCATTCACTTGCAGTCCATACGAAGTTATATCCGCAGAGGACCACGAACAATCCACGTACTGTCACCTCCTTCTTGGTCTCTTCCTCTCTGATCACGTAGAGTTTATTTCCGCGGCTTTTGTCTATGGCATAGTGCAAGCTTTTTGCACTTTCGAAGAGGTTTGGAAAGACCTTTGCAATGACGTAAGAGATGGCACTTTGAGCTCAAGAATAAAGTTACCCAAAATGAGAGAGGCTGTTTTGGGTATCATCTCTTCGAACCCCTCTTTGGCCTCAAAACTAGAAGCCGCTTGCTTGGAGCTAGAAGTGGTGGATTGGTTTGGTTTGGTTCCCAAACTTTGGCCAAATGCCAAGTACATTTGTTCCATAATGACAGGTTCTATGCAACCTTACTTGAAAAAGCTTAGGCATTATGCAAATGGTGTGCCACTAATAAGTGGTGACTATGGTTCAACTGAGAGCTGGATAGGGGTTAATGTGGATCCTAGTTTGGCTCCAGAGAAAGTAACCTTTGCTGTAGTGCCCACGTTCTCTTACTTTGAGTTCATACCACTTTATAGACAGAAACAAGATTGCAGCTTGGTAGCTGATCATGATTTCATGGAAGATGAGCCAATCCCACTTTCCCAAGTTAAAGTTGGCCAAGAGTACGAAATAGTGCTCACAACTTTTACTGGTAATTGTTCATTCATTCTTCTTCTCATGTTTATCATGCTTATATTAGATAATCTCTCTTCCTAATGAATATTTTATTATAAATTTTATATATAAATTATTTAAAATTAAAAAAAAATTATTTAAAACTAGAAGAAAATTACATTTATATATAAGCGCAACTTAATTATAAGAATTATAATAAAATATTCAATTTTATTATTAAATAATTCTTATTAAAAACTTTCCTCATTCAGACATGCTCTTAATATTTTCCCAGACACAATCTTGCTGATTACCCATAATTCTAAATTCACTTATTATATTTGCCAGTATTATTGCTTTTTAATTTAACACATATATTTACTATATATTTTTTTACTTGTTTAAGTGAAAAAGAAATAGAAAAGTTTTAATAAACACCCAGAATGCTAATAGAAATGTGACGTGATAAGTATTTATTTATCATTAGAATAATTATTGGTTGGATATCCAATCATTCATTTATCCAAAGAAGCATCTAATCATAAACTTGTTTACAGAGCCTACTAGAAAAGGTTGTAATTCTCTTCTGGGAAAGGCACTGTATAGAAACTTATTCTGGATTCTGTTAGGCATGGCTGATTAGAACCTTTGTCCTTCCCTAAAATAATGCCTAGGGTGGAACACGTTAGTTCATAAAGGCTACCTATAAGTGTCGATTACAAGCTGTACACGATCATCATCGGTTGCACATGAAGAAGGATATGTACCCAAAAATCTCCTTCAACCCAAAATCTCCTTCAACCCAAAATCTCTCTTCTCGATATGTTAGCACATTCAATTACTACAGCTATAGAAAAGTTGGGTTATATAAGTCAGATGCATGTACTCTACACAGCAATCATACATGTTCATATCTTTTTTAAACATATTCTTTTCTCTACCTCTTCTTGTCACATCGTAAAAGTTTATATTTTCTTTTCTCTTACATATTTTTTTCTATGCACTATATATATTTTTCTAATATAATAACTCTGGTGGGTGTTGGTCATATAATTTGGGGCTGTGAGCCCACTTCCCACGGGAGTGTTCATACCATATGTCGTGACCTTTGGCTTTTTGTTATTTTGCTTCATGTTATGTACCTGTCATTCCAGTCTCTTCTTCTGAGTTCTGACAAGGATTTACAATGACATTGTCAGCATTCGTCATTTTCAAAATTCTATCCCAACCGGAACGTGATCCTTCCGTATATCAATTTTCCATTTGATGGTCCAATCGGTTCAACTAACGGCCAGTTGTACACAACTAATGAACGGGGTTGCTGCATCAAAAATGCTAAGAAATTAATGTAACTTGACATGACATGAAAGAGTTTTCATTTTTTTAGCAGCTAAACATTTATTGATGTTCCCTTTTATTTCTTTCCATATTAATCATTGATCTCTCCTTTCTTCTTATTTCTCTTCTGGTAAGTGAATAAAATATTTGAAGTTTCAGGGTTGTATAGGTGCAGACTAGGAGATGTGGTGGAAGTGGGAGGTTTTCACAATGGGACCCCGAAGTTGAATTTTTTATGCAGAAGAAAACTGATTCTAACAGTGAATATAGACAAGAACACAGAGAGAGACCTTCAAATGGTGGTAGAGAAAGGGTCACAGCTGCTAAACAAGGTCAAAGCTGAGGTTGTTGATTTTACAAGCTATGCAGATGTCTCAAACGAACCAGGTTGTTACGTCATTTTCTGGGAGGTGAAAGGTAAGGCTGATGATAAGGTACTTGAGACATGCTGCAGGGAAATGGATGCAGCTTTTGTCGACCATGGCTATGTGGTTGCAAGGAAAACCAGTTCAATAGGGCCTTTGAGACTTTGCATTGTGGAGAGAGGAACTTTCAAAAAGATTTTGGATTATTTCGTGGAGATTGGGGCAGCACTGGGCCAGTTCAAGACCCCTAGGTGCACTAACAACCCTGTCCTCCTCAAGATTCTTAATGCATGCACCATTAAAACATTTCACAGCACTGCTTATAGTTCAATCCACTCATGATATGCATCGTTGTTCTCTTTTCTTATTCTCAATATTTTTTCCTCTGGTTTTCCTCTAATATGAAATAAGACCCTGTGGTTGCTAGAGAGAAAATCTTCGTAAAACACAAACCCTTGACTTGGAGGATGCTGTACTGGTTTCTTAATTTTGCATTTCACTTCAAGAATCGTAGGTGTTTGTAGGTCATTTCATGCATAAATTGAGAAATTAATTAGAAATCTACTCTTTTTAAATATCTAATCAACTTTTAATCACCTTATATTATTTTAAACATTGACCTAAGTTCGTTCATATATATATATATTTAAATAAAAAATTATAAATTAACAAATAGAAAGTATCCTTTGACATCTACTCATAATAATAAATTATTATTATATTATATTATATTATTATAAGTAGTTGTCATAAATTTAATCGTTAATAAATAACTATCTTACTCTTGTAAATAATGGTTCATTAAATTCAGGAATTACATCATTATTATTTCACTTATTTTTCCATAAGAATAGGTTAACAGAATATACCAAGGTGCAGATAATTTTAAGATTGATCATTTTTATAATTTGGTATTAAAGTCATAATTATGTGTTAATATGTTTTGTTTATACTTTTAATATTAAGATTTTATAAAATAATATTTTATTTTGGAGCTATGTTGTTCGGTGAGGAGAATAAATTCTATGACTTTCTCTTTTTTTAATCACATTCTCTACTATAAAAGGTAAAAAGGTAACACTTGTATGGAACCTCTTCTAATTTTCTTTTTATTATTAAATTATTAGTATAAATGTTAATCTACCACTCAAAATAATACCTTCTAACTAAACATTTCTATAAGTAGAATCTTTAGTATTATGGTATTTTCATTACTAAGGAGAAAGGTTTATATATAATGGTTAAGCTAATATACATATTTTCAAAATACTCGTGACTATCATATTTATGACAAATTTAATGAATATATTATATCATATTTACGCATGATGAAAAAAAAATTCTTCTATATGGCACTATTTTTTAAATGACACATATTTAGAGCCTAATTAATTATTGTTGGAATTTAAAAATGTGCTGCCCCACATATATATATATATATATATATATATATATATATATATATATATATATATATATTTATTTATTTATTGGTAATTTGTATAATAATAATAGTATTTTTTTATGGTCAAGAGTGAGAAAATTATAATTGATTATGGTAACCATGATCATGAAAAAAAATTTATAATTAAAAATATTTCTATAATTGATTACATGTTATTTTGTCTGTTTCTTTTAATAGTCATAATAATAATAAATCATTAAAAATATTAATGAGATATAAATTTATCTTATTTTTTTAATTTAATTAATTTTACTTTTTACTTATTTTTATTGTTTTTTTTTTCTCCAACAAAAACTAAATGTTGTACAAGATGCAGTCTTAGAAACATGCTAGAGGTTGAGGGTTTGTTTAGTGTGGGCCATTGGTGTTATTGGAAGCCCAATTCTCAATATAGGTTTTATCCATGTTTATCGGGCCTCACTTGGGCTATATATGTTTTATCTCTGCTACTATCTTAATGTTCCCATCAATAAACAGTTCCATTGGGTTAATTTTAAGAATTCTTTCTTGTTTAGTCAATTTGGTCTAACCGATTCGGTTAGATTAACTAAAGCAGTGGAATACTCATATTTATTTTTCATAAATTCCAAATTAAAAAAGAATGAATTTTTAAGTCATAAAATTCTAAAAAATTTAATAAAAAGTATCTAAAAATAAAAAATTTAAAATTATGACCTAATCCAGTTGTTAATAAATTAAGGATTGATTTAGATTAGATGAAAAAAATATATTCTATTAACCCAATCTATTTTTTATTATTAGTACGAGAAAAGAGTTATAATAAATATATTAGTAACCTCCATTATCCATTAAAAACCAATGTTTTTATGCATAATTCAAGATTTATAAATTGAATTTAGTAAAATAATATTTTTATGATATAATAAATTTGTTAGCATTAATAATTTTTAAAAAATAAATAAAAATAATAAAAGTTAATTTAATAATATAATAAAAATTATAAATATAAAATATATTAGAGAAGATAAGATAGATAATTATTAAAATATAATAAAATAACTATTATTTAAAATTGATATAAATAATATAATAAAAATAAAATAAAATAAAAATATATTATATTTAAATATATATATATATATATATATTAAAAATTTATTTATTTTTATCAAAATTCAACTTAAAATTTCAATCAATTTTTTTGATTTTATTAGTTTATATTAATTTTTTTTAATTATTTATAAATTTAATTTAAATATGATTATTTAAAAATAATATTTCGATTTTTAATATGATTACCATTTCAATCTAATTTAAAAAATAGTGGTAAAAACCAGGACGAGTAGTACTTCCTATGACTTTGGTAGGAATTCATAGTAGAAAATGAAAATAAAATCCTCAAAAAACTGTCTTGTAATTTGTCAGTTTGCGAGGTGTTTGCACTTTTTGGCACGCTTGAAGTGAGGGTACACGCTTGCTTGCACACAAAAGAAAAGAAAAGAAAGAAGACAATCCACAAAAACAAAAGAAGCCTCTGTGTCTGCATCTCTGTTTTCTCTCTCCCCCATAAAGCAATTGAAGAGGGTGCTCAACTTCGAGGACCATTTTTTCTTCACTGCATCTGTGTCTTCAGAAAAACTACTTCCATACATTACTATCAAATATCCATATCACTGGAACAGATTAAGTATAGTTTAATTTCAACTGCTAAAACAAAGATTAAAAGTTGTTGGCACAGGTTCTCTCACTAGTCCCACTCTGTTGTCATTTTTTTTACAGCAATGGACCCAGATCCCATAAGTTCATCAATATTTCTACATATTTTTTGTTTGTTAAAAGATATATGCATTAAATATAATATTAAATCATGACAGTTTTTCATCAAGTTAATCAGTTTTATAATTAATAAAGCCCATGAAATTATATAGTTTATTTTTATAAACATTGATATTTCATCATGATAGTTCATGAATTTTTTTGTATTCACTGTGTTCTTTATTTCTTCATGAAAGAGAAGAAAATTCTGCAGGACTATTTCTGGTGTATAGAAATATTCATATTTTATTATTTCCATACAAATTCATGAGACATGAGAAGAACTAAAGCAAGGTCACGACAAAGAAAGGAAAAAGAGATTGTTATGGAGATGTACATATTCACAGAAGCAATTTCAAGACTAACAAGTCCCAAAAACAAGGAAGAAGTAAACTCCAACACTATATGTAACACAACCACTTCAAACTGCCACTAAAAATGTAAAACATGCCATGTGACTCAAAATCGCTTAAACCAAAAAAACCTTGAAACAATTAACAAAGAAACGTGCTTCCTGAACCTACAGAAAAATAAAGCACTCCAATGACACATGTGGGTTCTCTAGTGACTCCTTAACCGAAACACCATCATTTTCCTCCACAACACCCTTAGCAGCCGGAACTCGCCGCGCCGGCGGCAGGTTATTACTCCGTCCTCCACGCGAGGGTGACTTCGACCGCCGGATAGACTCCTCGCCGGAAAGACAGCGTACATGGCTGGAATCTCTCCGGGGAACCGGCCGTGGCCTCACAGGAATTTCCGGCTTTCTCGCCGGAGATTTGTGCCTCCGGTCCCTGCCGTCGACTGCGTAGGAACGCTTCCGGTTCAGGTTCCGGGCTGCGTTGTATCTCTTGCTTGTGGCTTCGTCTTCTCGGTTTTCCGTGACGGTGGTGGCGGTGGTGGTGGTGGAGAAGCTCTCGCCGTTGCTGCGTGTTTCCGACACGAGAGACACTTCCTCTGATTCCAAAGCTTTTTTTATGGGCACCTCTCGAGGTTGAATAGCGGGCAAATCGGTCTTGGTTTGTGGCATCAAAATTGGAACTTGTTGTGGTTTGGAGATAGGTGTTTCAGAAAGAACCTCTTTCACAGATTCCTCTTCAAGGGGTCGTGGGGCTCTGATGCTGCAGTTTTGTTGGAGCGATCCAAGTTGGGGTTGAGGGTGTTTGGGGTCATCTTGGGGTTGGTTGGAGTTAGGGGTGCTGAAGCAGCAACCCATTTGCTATTTTGGAACAAGTTATGAAGAGGTTTGAGTTTCAGGTTGCAATAGCATAGTTGGAACAAGGTAGTGTAGAATATTGTTGCATGGCTTAGCTTCTTGGTTTGAAATTTTTGATGGGAAAGGAAATGAAAAGTGATTAACGGCTATTGAAAATGTAGGGTGGTTTGGGAAAAAGGTTGTGAGAGGAGAATAGGGTTGTGAAGAGAAAAAGTGAAACACAGAAAAAAGTAAGCAACAAATGAGGTGAATTTAGCTTGTAGAGGTTGAGTGAAGCAAGAACATCGTTGAAGCTGCTTAAATAGCTTTGAACTTGCTCTGGATAAAGGACACACTAGCATCCAACAATCTTAAATTCTGTCTATGCTATTAAAAAAGGAAATTATTTTCCGTAACAAAGTGAAATATTTTGTTACTATTCCTTCAAATTTTATGAGAAATGGATTTAATATATGTTATACAGTATATTGTTATTTTTGTGTTAAATACCATTTTTTTCATAATCTCAGAGGATAACAATCTAATCTAAACATATAATAATATATTTTCCTGTTAACTAACAAAATATGAATAAATTTTGAATTTAATATGTTTCTGAATTTTGAAGTTTAGTTGCTTTACTTTGCATGGGGCAATTAGGAAGCATGCATGTTCCATGACATTCATAAAGGTTGAACATTTTTTTACTGACTTGTCCGTATAGAACTTTAAAAACAAAGATAAAGTAATTTTAAAGTATTGCCTTGGATTCTTTTCAATAAGGTATATTTAAGTGCATGGCTACGTTTTGAAAGCACTTCTAGGTCATTTTTAGTTTTTTTACTTCAAATTTTTGTTTCATTGTATTAATAATGTTTGAATAAATAAGATTGTTTGTAAACTTGAATGATGATTAATCTCTATTTTAACAACTTAATTGACTATGACCTTTTTTTTATAATATTTTTCTGTCCATTAGATTTAAAATATGATATTTTATGTTAGTAATTCAAATTTAATTTTACTTCAGTCCACATGTTGGTATATAGGGTGAGATTTTATTTTTAATTCTTTTTTTTCACCATTTATTTTAATCATTATACTATTTTATTATTCGTACTATTATTTAAACTTTATACTTTAATATATTTAACCAATGCATTAATAAATGATTTATTTTTATTTTGATTAATGATATTTTTAAAAATAATATATCATTATTAGTAAAATATATTATATAAAAAAATTAATATATCATTATGACGTCATATTTTTTGGACTATGATTTTGCAATTGAAGTGGTTTTATTATACAACCTGCTTATAAAACTCTATTGGAATGTTGGATTTATTAAAAGAAGGAAATTGTAGTTTGAAGCTGTTTCTGCAACCCTTTAACTTGGAACAATTCAAATTCCAAATCTTGGAAAACTATGCGTTGGACAAAAGTGTTTTTTCAGCAACACTATCACCTTGAATAAAATATTATATATTATATTACTAGTGTTTTTTTTTAACGTTATTTAATATATTTAAATAGTACAAACTTTAGCACGTTTTCATAATTGATAACACTTGTTTTACTAGTTTTAATTTTTGTAAATAAGATTCTTTTTTATAATTTCTCATAATTTGTTTTCTCTTCAGAAAATGGAAAAGATGAATTCAAAAGTGAATTATGAAATTTAATGCAAGAAATTGAGAAAGACTACTTCAAAAGGCAATTCTAAAAGTTTATGCAAGAAATGGGAAAAGATGATTCAAAAGCGAAACACGGTGGCCAAGGCTGTCAATATCATGCTAAAGAACTTAAGAAAAAGGAAGATGAATGCCTTTTGAATTTCACTTAAGAATTTTGATAATTTGATTTCGAACCAAAAAAACGATTACACACAGAAAGCTATGAATACGTGAAAAAGTTAGGTGGTTGTTTGAGTAACATTTTGAAAATAATTTTTAAGCTTTGCGTTAATTTTGTGTTCATGCTATATATAAGTGTCTCTATCTATGCATGCACAAACATATTTTATGTTTCATTTAAATTATATTTTAAGAGTTGCAAATCGAAATTTCAGTAAAAGCATATAATCTAGTAATTATACTTATGTATTATTTCCTATATGATTTAGTGAGCATTTTTCTAAGTAATTTGTAATATCTGTCATTTAAAATTACTCAGGGAAGCTACTACTAATGCAAAATGTATTTCATTAGAAATTTACGTTTTTACCTACATGCATTTCTGTATGTTTGAGTTAAATTTTTTTTTTTTAATTAGGTGCATGTGTAATCAAAGTTTTATCAGAAAAAAAGAAAAAAAATTATATTATATATGTTATTATGGACAAAATTTTGTATTACGATGATTATTTTCGAGGGTACTAAATAATTGGAGATTCTTAATTAATGGAATCATGGGTTAATTATATAATATAAGAGATTATATGACATTATTTTTCACCCAAGACTTAAAAATAATTCATGCTTCAATTCTAAACAAAAATGTACTTCAACCTCATCTTTAAAATAAAATTATATTTCATAGATAGTTTTGTCATACGGATTCTCGTAAATTCAAATTTGAGAAATTTTTATATTTATTTAATTTCTATCTTATAAACTCAAAGTTTGATAGGAAAACTTTAATATAAAAATAATCTATTATTGTTTTATTGAAAAAATAATTTTCCATTTTGGTCTTACGAACACACATTTAAAAATTCCATGCCTTTTTTAGTCACAATAATCATGACTATAAAATAAGAAGCATATTACATTTTTGTTTCTTAAATTTACATGAGCTTTTTGGATTCTAATAACGCACATTGGTGTTGTACATGTATGTATAACAACGGTGAAATTTTGAACCTAAAAATCATAACTGACCAATACCACACCTCTATTGATAGTTAAAATTATTATCATATGAAGCTTATCATCACCAAGCAACAACTGAACAAACCTAAGTGGATACATTGGATAGGATATGATATGAAACAAAGGATACCCGGCCCCCCCCCCCCAATCTCCCCCCGCCTTCGCTTCTGATCAGCGTCGGTTTGTTAACATTGCAATAGACAATCGAGGCCAAATCCTAACCCAGATTTACCCCAGTAAGCATTTTACCACCTATACACGCAGAACCCCCATATAGTACAAAGGGACCCCCCAAACTTTCCATATTTCAACATATTTTATATGCTTCAGGAATGTATTGTAACCAAAAATGATTACTCGAAGTATTCCAGCTTTCAATATTTTTAACATTAGTCCCCACATGATGTTGAGAGACAGACACTAGCCAGCCTGTCATAAGTCACAACCCAAAAAAGAATACCTCACTAGTCACTGCTCTACCAGGCCTCCTGATGAATGTAACGGTAACACTAAACATGGCTTCAGGACAATTTGCCAGCACAATTATACAGGCTCTTGGTGATAGGCTAGTATAAAGTAGTACCAAACTCTATTTCAAAACTAAAGTCCAGTGAGATAAGTTTGAATGTCAACTACCAAATAAACCTAAATTGAGTAAAAAATAAACACTTCAACAGTATTAAAATCAACAGCTTTAAACGTTTTCTCAAATAAGAGGTGAATACTTATTACTTTTAATAACTACAGTAACTGGCATAAGTTAGAACCAGTCAAATAGATAAAAATGAGTGCACGTAAATGAGAAAATATACAATCAAGTTTGAATATTGCATTTTCCAAATAAATCAGCCAATCCACTCATAGGTGTTGGTGTTGGTGTTGGGGCTGGGGTTGGGGTTGGGGTTGGGGTTGGGGAGGAGGTGAGAAAGAAGATGGCAGATAGCACTTGCCCGTGTATAGATTTTTACTCCTATTACACGTGGCAAGAGCATCAACAGCATGTAGTAAGCCTACGCTCCTTACATATAATGCATATGGAAGTGTGTAAAAAGATAATGGATCAAGAGAATGTCAGCTTTGAGGGAGATGCAGCCCGATCTGATTCAATCATGGATTTAATATAGAATTCACCTGCCTTGTATGAAGACCTCACCATGGGCCCAGATGCCACATATCGAAATCCCTGCATACAAAGTAGAATCAGTTCGCCATTCATACCACATGATCAAGCTATAATTAAATACCATATGCAACTTTTATAATATTGCAGATTTCCCACAAATCATCATGATGCTATATGCAGCAATTAAAAGGAGAGAAATGTTCCATAATTGCACTCGCTTGGTGATGCATAGCAATAGAATGTCAGATAAAGATTGCTATTGCCAGGTCCGCTGGGTCCGGGTGTGCTAACTCCTAAGAATAATAAATATGCGAATGACAAGGCTGAATTTACCATGGATTAATTAGCAAGATACGATAATTTTACAAAAAACTTAATAAACAAAAATGATGCAAGAAATGATTTTAAATGACCCAAAGAGAAGGATAAATACAGGCAACAAGCTTAAATGTAATAAGTTTTATGCCACTCAAACTTCAACTACAACGAGAGAACATAGTGTTGTACAGAAATGATATTTAAGATTACATGGAGGCCAGCAAAATTGATGACAAGATATACTGTTGAAATTGTATGATTTACTGTACAGAGGGACGAAAAGAAGAAGAGACTGAATAAGGAGTTACAATAAGATGGTAAAACACTAATTCTTTTTTATTGCAATTATAATCCTAACAAAATAAGGAGTCAAATCATGAAATACAAGGAAACCTGAAAATCAAGGAAACAGGAGAACAAGTATTAATCTTTTCAAAAGAAAAGGGAAAACTGATATAGAGATATGATCTCTAAGGTACTCTAAAATATTTGAATACAAAATTGGTATTACAAGATATTAATCATATATTCAAACAATTACTTTTGGTAAACAATTAATTATGGGATATAAATACTATCTTTTTCAACAACTAGCAGGAAATCACAAAAGAATTGGGTATTTCAACAAACCAAAATAAGTTAATGCAAACACTAGTACGACGCACCATTTCCATGCCCAGAGTCTGATACTTATTAAAGGCCTC